TAATCAACGTCCTTTATATTTCTATGGTTACATAGCTGATGCTGACAGATATCTCTATCCGCTTCAGGAGTGGGATGTTAGTTTATCAAAATTTGCTTACACCTCACTGATCAAGGGACATTGTGTCCTATTCAAGTTATCTTCCGCTGTTCGATCGAACCAAGTTTGTGGCAGTGAAAATGAGTGTAGTATTTTTGTCATCTTCGCTATTTTGGGGATAAAAGTGCAGAACATGGCGCTGACTCGAGCTCTAACGTGGTTGGGAACTATCAATCTTACGTCCAAGACCCAATTATGACATCTGATATGGTGTGTGGCCGAAAAACCACACAGACCAACAAAGGAGTTGTAAGTGAACAACCAGTGGCTAAACCGGACTTGGAATCTCTTCCCGAGAACAAAAGAGAGGCCAAAGAAGGAAGCTTCTTCCACAAGCTTCCCTTCAAACGTCCGAAGCTTAATATCAACTGGTAATGTTCCAACCGTTTCAAGAGTTTGAGGAATCTCGCTTCATTGGTTGTATTAAACTGAAAACTTTATCTTTCATAGCAGCTTGGAGATGTCAGAGCAGGCTGATGTATTTCAAGCTCAAATATAACTAGGTTCGTTTGGTGTCAGCAAGAGATACCTCTAACTCCACATAGCCATTCCCATTAAATAACTTAAGATACCGCCGTAAACGCTTTCTACATATATACATGTTTCCCAGCAAGGTATGATCTCACTGTATTTCTTGAATATTTGTTTGCAGAAGAAAAAAATACTTTAATGGTAAGTAAATCATGTGTGTGTGTTTAATAGAGCAATGAAACCTTTTCAATCGTGTCTCCTAACATCTGTCCAGCACAAGTGAGATTCAGTTCCTGGTTTCAATAAGTGCAGCAAACAACCATATTTTATCAAAGGAAAATTTGTAACGGGGATAAGTTTGAGGCATTCTCTATAATATTTGGTAAGAAAGATACAACAGAATTTTGCATTCACATTAAACAAAAAAAAGTTAAAGATTTAAAATTAATAAAATATAGACATAAATAAAAATTTTGCATATGCCTTGAAAACATAAAACTGCACTTAAAATAAAATAATTCTAAAGAGCTTTAAGACCTTTTATTATCTACATTTTACAGCAAAAGAGAGTTTATTAAGACAATTAATATCAAACGAAGAAAGTATTCGTTAGCTATCAAATTTTTAAGCCCATACGATTGTCTATTTTAACTTCACGAAAATATTAAAATAAAGTATTTTCAAAGAAGATACGATTATAGCTAGCACCAAAACTATAACGGGCGGAAAATTACGATCGCAATGGACACACACATATTTGAGTAAAATTATTGATGTAATACTGCATGAATACTAAATTTCAAAATCATGTTATAAATTTATTTAAGACTAAAATTTTACCTTGAATGAGACTAAAATAACTAATACGCATACACGCAAAAAAAATTACCACCTTCATATTTATCGTAATGTAGGATAAATAAAACACCAGAATATTAAATAGGTAGAAAGGAAAATATCATTAATTATTAATTTTGTAATTATTTATCACAGATTTAGAAGATACAATATAAAGGTATAAAATTATCAATGTATTAATAAAACATGTATAAATGTATAAGATAGACAAATAATTCATATAAAATTATTGTATTTAACTTCAACTGTAATTTTGAATAACTTATTTACTTAATTATTTAATTAAATTAAACAAACATTACAATGAAAATAGTGACACTGATTAATTTTGTTATAATTAATTAAATAAAATTATATTTCTAACAAAAAAATAAAATAGTAACTTTTATTAAGGGTTAAATATTTTTATCTATATAGAAAACTAACATATTCTTTAATAGTTATTATTGTTGTGATGATATTAATACTATTTTATTTAAAATAAATTAAATATTTTAAAGTAAATTTATATATTCGCCCGCCCGTAGGGCGGGTTTGCCCTAGTATTTAATAAGAGAGACAAGAACAGTCCTCTGATCCATTCTTTCAAGTATCTGTTCAGAGCGATAGAGTGAGAACTGAGAAGTAAATAATGGCACGTGACTCAGACGAAGAAGCCACGTGCGATCTCTCCCAACACGCATGTGCCCCATATAGAATGACCGGCTCCGTAGGTCAAACTTATCCATGTTCCATCTTATTTCCCACCTAAGTAAAACTTTCGAAATTAATAGTATAAGTTTTACTCCATGTTCTAAAATTTGTTGGGCGTAATACATGCTGGCACACACAGACCTGGTGAGTTATTAGAAAAGCGGTACACAATCAAAGAGTACGCGGGACATAATTTTTATAAATTTTGAAAATTTTATAATATTTTTTTTAAAATATACGCTAATATACAATGAAACCTTTATAAATTAATAATGTTAGAACTACACAAAAACTATATTTTTTTATTAATTTATAGAAGTTATTAATTATCGATATACTAATTGAACCAAAAACTTAATTTGAAACTATAAAATTATATTATTTTATGAAATTTTTAATGTATATTAATTTATAGAATATTAATTTAAAGACGTTATACTGTATGTAGTCTCGTCTATGAGAGTGATTATGTAGTGGTCCAGCGGTTATTTGTGGCTTTCCAATGTCTAAAATCAGATTCAGAAGCTGAAATAAACAATCTTTTCTCATTTTTAATCTATTTAGAATAAAGAACAAAATTGTACCTTGAGTTTCTTTTTCAAACTTAATTTTGCAGCCATTTTCATATTTTTCAACATAAATCACCAATTTTAAGCTATTTGTTTCAGTTAGATTTCATTTATTTTTGCTACAACCACTAAAATATGAAAGATATACTGAATTGGAACACAAAATCGTCAAGATATTTTTTCTGAACCGAGTTTTTAAACGATTTTAGCATAAGCGTGACGGTGAAGCTCTCGAACGATTTTCCATCAAGGCTGATCCGGCACGTTTTTGAGGGATATTACCAAATCTTTTTAGAAAAAAAAATATATTTGATATTGCAGTTTGAATAAGTTTTGATGAAAGAATAGTGAAGGTCGAAGTCCATTTCAAGAATTAGTTGTTTCTATAAACAGATTATATTAGTTTGTTAGTATTCTAAATTTTATTATTTTATACCAATATTTAATATAAATACTAATTAGTTAAACATAAAATGAAAATAAAATAATAAATTTATTATTTAAAATTATACTTAAGAAGAGATATGTATATATTTAAAATTATAATCTTAGCTAAAATTCTTTTATTTTTGTTGGTTAAGATATATTAACCAACTTGTGTAAAATTAAAAAGCAAACAATATAAAATTATAGAATTATTAAAAGATAAACTATACACAATTTCTAAATTTGTAGATATCAAAAGAAAACAAATGGTAACTTAATTTTTTTAAAATAAAAAAATTATCTATAATTTTGAAAGTCTTGTTTAATAATATAAAAAGTATATGACTATAAAAATACACTTAAATGACATTTCAAAATTGTTTTATATTTCTATTTTTATTCTTTAATATTATATTCGAATATATTTGTATAAATGATTATGAGTTATTACCATATTATAATTTTTTTATCAAAAATAGAAATTATTATTAAATGTAATTATTTATGTTATATTTAACCATAAGTCATGTCATCATTTATAGTATACCATGACATATTTTTTTGGTGAAAGTAATTGTTGAAATAACATGTGTGAAAATTAGTTTACAAATAATGTTAAAGGATTTCGCGTAAATAATGATAGAGAATATCTCTATTTACTGAAAACTGATATTCTCTATATCAATCTATTAAGTACTTCAATATATGTTTTTAAATAG